CATATTCAATGGAATGTCAAAGAATTGAAGATATTAAATATACCCTATAGGCCTTGTATAGCTATCACTTCTGTCTCCACAGGGACTATCAACCAGAATACCTCTCCATGGCCTCTCCATGTGACCTGGTCTTCTTCTCAGCATGGTGACCCGAGGATAGTCAGACTTCTTACATGTTATGTCAGTGTGCCAAAAGCCAGTTTACAGTGAACAAGGCAAAAGTGGAATCACATTTTATGACCTACCTTGGAAGTCACTCCCTATATTCTGGGTGGTACTATTGTGCCCAGGTGCCTTTGTTGTACTCTATTGGTCCAAGCTGTCAGCAAGCCCTTTGAGATTAGGGAGAGAACATCACTCCTATCTTTTGATGTAAGGATTATCAAAGAATCTGTGGACATGTTTCAAAGCCTCCTTAGCTACTCATCTATCAATACCACAACCATTGAATACCTACCCATTGACTAACCAAGGGATGAGGATTCCAAAAGCATTTGTTCATTTATTCCTCAGATATGCATTGAGTGCTTACTATGGGGCAGGCAGAGGTTCTGGGAGACAAGCATGGAAAACATAAATATACAAATGATTAGGTAATGACAACTTTGCTAGGTGCTAAGAATGATGAGATATTGAAATGAAGCCTAACCAGGTGGAGGTGATGGTGTTGTCAGGGAAGTTAATTTAGATGGGGTGGCCAGGCAATGTCTATCTGATGTCAATTTAAGGAGAGTACAGAGGATAAGAAAGAGCCAACTAAGTCAAGTTTTGGGGAAGAGCATTCAAAGTAAAGGAAATAGCATACACAAGCATTCTGAGGCAGAAAAGTTTTTACAGATTCAAGAAACTGAAAGAGGATCCCATATGTGGCCAGAGAACAGAGAGAATCATGGTATGTGATTAAGCTGGGATTTAACTCTTTACAGTTTAATAGGTCCATTTTCCATTAGCCTATTCCTATTATGCACCTGCTTTGTGTCCCTTCATATTAGGTGTTGTCAGAAGGACAACATGGCAACTAAGTAATTAAGGACAACATGGCGATTAAGTAATATAAAAGGAAATATGGTTCTTGCAAAAATAATAAGGTAGATTCAGTCTGGTCTTATTGTTTGGACTTCCGTTGAAAGCCAGATGTTGGACAGCAGGATTCAAAGTTTCCAGAAGCTGTTTAATCAACTAATATATGAAATACGTTGATGCCCAGCTTGTATTTTGCTTGCAGTGATGATGGTAAGTTGAGGCCCTGGCAAAACTGAGAAGCCTCAGAAGCTTGGTCTCTAGCTTCTGCTTTCAGCTGTCAGACTACTGTATAATTATTTGGATACCTCCTTGGTCAATATTTCTTTACTATATCAAAGCAGGAAAGGGCCCAATGACATCCAATAATAATGATCATCATCATAATGATAACTACTAAAATAATAATTAACACCTATTTAATATTTATGTGCAAAGGGTTTTATATATTTTATCTCTTTTAATCCTCATAACAGTCTAGTGAGGTAAGTTAGATACTAGTATTTTCATTTTACACATGAGAGATTTAAAGATCAGGGAGTCTAATATACTGCTCTAAGGTCAAAGAGCCAGGACTCAGAAGCTAGCCTGTCTGAGTGGTGAGCCCATTCTTTTAAGTATGATTGAATACTGTAATTCTTCCAGAGAGTGAAAAATACAAACAGGCACCTGGGAATTTTGCACATGCAGTGCCCCTAAAGCTGAGTATTTACCTGAATTTTTTACTTTTATCCAGACGCTTGGCTTCTTATAGGCTAAATTGAACTGTGGCCTGTGAAAAAGTATCTACCCTTTCTTAAGGCAATGCCTTCACACTCTAATTCAGGTTTTTCTCAAAGGATTTCTTATTTGCATTCTGGTTTAAGAATCAAGTCCTTAAACTTACACAAACCACCATTTTGAGCTTCAGTTATCCTTGGAGAGCATGGCTTATAATCAGCCTCCTTAAGTACTTTGAATTAAGTGATATGCAGAGAACAGCTTGCCTTTAATAGATCTCCTTACCTGGTCTCAATAGGGCCCTGTCTCAGGTATTAAAAAGAAGAAACCCAATTAGCTCTAATTGCTGGTCTCCATGGACGTATTGCCTTCTCATTGGCAGATGGTCACTGGTGTTGTAGAGGAGGCAATGATGAATTTTCTAGGTGGAAATATCCCTCCCCCTTCTTCTCACCATATTTATTTTTTCCCCCAATGCATCGCACAATTCACATATCTACGGTACCTGTGACTCCAGGTTTAAGAATACAGGTATTAGAAATTGATGATCTTATCAACAGAGGACAGTTCCCTTCCCAGAAATTCAGGCCACTCGATCTTCCCTTGGCTTGGTTTCGTTGAACAAACATTTACTGGGTGTGAGCTGTATGTCTGGGACTGTGTAGGTATTCTACTGATTAGAGAGTTTTCTTGGTAAATTCAGATGAACCTTACTCTTTTTGTGCCCAGAAATGTGCTATATGCATAGTAGATGTTTATATTATTTCTTTTGAACAATTGTGTTAAAGATATTAATTAATTAATAATTTAGGCTGCCTTTCCAAGGACTCAAGGTAATGCTTGCCTCTGACCCTAAGAAGAAATGCTCACGATTTCCCAGTCCTCACCCCAAATTCTACTGTTAAATTTGCGCCAAGGCAAATCTCAGACTTTTAGAACTGGAAAAATAGTGGCATTATATAATAGAAGAACAATTGACTAGATGTCAGAGGTCTGACCCATTCCCTAACTAATTGTGTGACTTTAGTCATTTAATAATTGTATTTATTTCAAAATGTTTATTTGAATGCCTATTCTTTGTCAGGCCCCATTCTAGGTGCCGGGAAGAGCTGGAGGTGAAAGTGTGGTAGAGACAGAAATGAATAAGACACATTCTTTGTCTTAAGGAATCCATTATTAAGTGGCGAGATAGACATATATGCAAAGAATTGCTGTATAACCTGATCAACGCTAAAATAGAAATATATGCAAAGTGCTTTAGTAGCATAGGAAGAAAGAAGGCCTAACTTTAGATGGTGGTGAAAAATCAAGGAATGCTTCATGGAATTTGTGACACTTGACATTTGATATTTGAGTTGGGCTTTGAAGTATGAAAACAAGTTAACCCAGGAGAGGTGAGGCAGAGGTTAAAGTGGAAACAGTGTATGCAAAGTCATGGAGTCATAAATTGTGTGAGATCTTTATTCTGATCTTCACTGGAGATCCTTGTGTCAGAGGTTGATTAAACACAGGAGGGACAAATTTCCATTATAAGGAAGATCACTCTGGTGATAGTGTAAGGAAAAGCCTAGGAAACCATTCTCAGTTCATGCCCAGCCCCTTGCCAGGCTTTAAAATTGCACTTCCATGGAGTACTAAGGAGAACATCAGATACACAGCTCGTACTTTTCCCCCTTGGGTTTTCCATTCTATAAGTGGGAATGCATCAAGTTGTTAGAAATTGTTCTGTTCTCTGGATGTTGAGTTCCCCTATCTTGGATGATAATAACAATTGTTAAATTAAACATCTATGCTGTGCACATTTTTTTGGTATTTAGGGTGCTGTGGGGGAGATACGGAAGTAGTAATGACAAGGTCCCTGCCCTTAGAGAGATTATAACTTACCTGTGAGAGAAGAGAAGCCTCCTAAGTGTCTAGAAGTACTACATATTGACATATGAAAGTGGGCTGCTTAACAATTTTACCTTTTGTATAATTTACAATGATTTGTTAAGTTTGATGAATTTTCAATAGGTAATTTATTTACATTATTCCCACCTCAAAAGGTACACTTCCCCTGCATTTAGTTTTTCTACCAAGAAGCAATTGATATCACCAAATTCATATGCATCTTTCTAGAACAGTCTATGCATCTACAACTAAGTATAAATATGCTTTCTTTTACCTTCTATTACACAAATGATGCCATACTATAGACACTGGCTTTTGAACCTTGCTTTTTGTCCTTACAATATATCATGGGGCTCTTTCCATAACAGCATATGTAGAGCTGACCCATTCTTTCATGTTGTTTTTGTTTGTTTATGGGTGTAGTATATTCCATTGTTTGGATGTGGTTTAATTTATTGAATCAGTAAGGTTGATTTTAATCTTTTGTTTTAATAAATGATTCTGAAAGGAAAACTAAAACCAATTTTAATCCTATGACATTATTTTTCCTTTTTTTCTGTGGTACGTGGACCTCTCACTGCTGTGGCCTCTCCCGCCGTGGAGCACAGGCTCTGGACACGCAGGCCCAGCAGCCATGGCTCACGGGCCCAGCTGCTCCGCGGCATGTGGGACCCTCCCGGACCGGGGCACGAACCCATGTCCCCTGCATTGGCAGGCGGACTCCCAACCACTGCGCCACCAGGGAAGCCCAATCCTATGACATTTTTATCTCATGCATCTTTTTAAAGACTTTAGGTGGAGAAAGGAAACAGGCTGGGCTTTAGATTGCATTACATTACGTTTCTGCTGCTTCTCACCTCACATCTAACTCATACTCCCCTAAGAAAAGTCATCTGCAGTAATGTCTTCCATGTTTCAAGACAACTGTTTTGAACACCTCAGGATTCTGGGCTACCCTCAGTTAGTGGAAAGATCATGGATTTGGTGCTAAGCAAACCTTTGGCTCAAATTCATATCCTGGTTTCATTACTGTCTGGCTGGATAGTCTTGAGCAGGTGAATTAATCTCTAGGACTCAGTTGTGATATCTGTAAAGCAGGGATAATAACAGTAGCTACCTTACTGTGTTGCTATGAGGATTTAGCACAATAATCCATGCAAAGAAAAGCATAATGCCTAGTATCCACAAAATATTTAACAAAAGAAAGTTTGATACCCTTCCTGTTCATTAATGTGGAGAAACTTGATGGGACAAAGGAAAACTAGCTATTCTTGACCCTTTAGAAAGATTTCCATTTTGTTAGGGTTTTCACAAAATACCAAGAGCTACTAGAAAAATCAAACTTTCTTTCACAAGGTGTACATTCCTCATTACACCAATTTTCTCAGGGCTACTTTTACATCCCTGTTCCTTAGAGTGTAAATAATAGGGTTGAGGGCAGGGGTAAGTACTGTATACAGAAGGGAAAGCAACTTCAATAAGTCTTCATTCTGAGGCTGTGATGGGAAGCCATAGACAATGCCCAGAGTCCCATAATACAGACTGACCACTGTAAGATGGGAGGAACAGGTAGAGAAGGCTCTCTGCTTTCCTGTGACAGAAGGAATCCTCAGAATGGTGGAGATGATGTCAGTATAAGAAGCCAGAGTTAGCAGAAAGGGACCTAGTACAAATAAAGAGATGCATATAAAAGAGGTCATCTCAGCTACTTGAGTATCAGTGCAGGCCAGTTTCATGATGGGCTTCAGATCACAGAAGAAGTGGTCAATCTCACTGGCAGCACAGAATGTTAACCGAAAAATGTGGACCATGAGAAGGATGGGTGCCAGAAATCCAGCTATCCAAGAGGTGCCAGCTAGCTGTAAGCAACCCCAGTGGTCCATGATGCTGGAATAATGCAATGGGTTACAGATGGCTATGAAAAGATCATAAGACATTACAACTAGTAAGAAGCATTCTGTAGCCACCAGAGCAGCAAAAATAAATAGATAAATAAATAAATAAAACTGGCAAGCGCAGTCTGAGAAGGAAATAGGCACATGAGGTGGCAGCAATGTCCTTAGCATCATGGGCTCAATGGTAGTGGTGTAGCCAAACTCTAGGAAGGAAAAGTGGTCAAGAAAGAAATACATGGGAGAATGAAGGGAGCAATCAGCCAAAACCACAGTTAGGATTACAATGTTGCCCATGAGAGTCACCACATAGATTACCAAAAATACCCCAAAAAGAAGATACTGAAGGCCGTGAAGATCCCCAAAACCCAAAAGGCTAAGTTCTGAAATCTGAGTCATATTTTCTTCAGTGCTAGCCATGACTTGGATCTAAAAAAATAAAAAAGAAAAAAAAGAAAAGAAATATAAAGAATGACCATTGATCAAATTCTATTTTTAGAAAAAAAATGAAACTGCTTAGAGGCATCATACATATCAAGCAAAACTGGCTTCTTTCTGGATGTTCAAGATTTTTAATTAATAAATTTGATCACAGTCCCCCAGAGGCCATTTGGAAAGTTCACCTTTGACTTCAATTATCCCTTCATATATAGAATGTATAGGCCCTTGAAACTATGATTATGACACATGAAGATGCACATTTTTCCTACTATTTATTTTTGAAAAAACAGAGAGAAAATATTCCATCTTTGGAGATCTGGTTGTTTCTATTGCTGCTAGAGGTGTTATCGTCATCAGCAATAAATATTCTGAATGACTTACCTGTAAATTGTATAAAGTCTATGATCAAATTTGTTTCCTGTTTTAGAAATTCCATACCAATTAAATAATATGAATTGAATTTCAAGTGTTGAAGGATGTTTAATTCTTAAAACTTATTTAATAGTAAGTTCTCTATACATTAGTAGAGGAGGCATAATGACATGAGGGTGAACTAGTGATGGTAGGGATATGGTATGGTATAATAGAGACATACCTGAATTCAAATTCCAGCTCTGCCACTGAATGACGTGTGCCTTTGAGTAAGTCACATCACTTATCTGACAGTTTCCTCATCTTTAGAACAGCATATTAATTCTATGTAACACGATTTGCATAATCACTGGTCCATATTAGGCATTTAATACATTCATTCATCCATTCGACAACACTTATTGAGTGCCTACTCTGTGCCAAATTCTTTGAAATGTGCTTAGAATAAAATGGTGAAAAAGTCAAGAATTTTTTAACAAGTCAGGAGTACTCTCTACATCTCATGGAGTTAACATTTTAGTAGGAAAGAAAGACTAAAAACAAGTAAAGAGACCCATAAAATAATTTTGAGTTGTCCACTATGAATGTAAAAAATAAGGACCCAAAATAGGAATATGCTGTATGTATGTGTGTTTAGGAGAGGGCTACTTTGGTTGGTGTGGTCAAGAAAATCCTAAAACACTGAGACCTAAAAAAATGGGAAGGAGATAGTCATGCAAGATTTGGGAGTGAGGGGTGGGAGAAAGTATTCTAGGCAGAGGGAACAGGCCTTAAGCAAGGAATGATTTAGAGTGTTAGAAAAACTGAAATTGAAAAATACATATATATGGTTTAGGGGGAGTTGGAGAGAGAGAGAGAAACAGAGTCAGAGACACACAGAGAGAGACAGAGAGAGAGAAACAGAGACAGAGAGAAAGAGATGAAGAAGAGACGAGTAGAAAAAATAGGAAAGGGCCAGGTCATATATGTCCTTGTAGGCCATGCTATGCCATGTAGACGTTAAATATGGTAGGAATTCATTGGAGGAGGTTAAGCAGCATTGTGATCAAATTTACACATTATAATCACTTTTTACACTGTGTAATTAATGAATTAGAGTGAGAACTTCATGGGTAGATTAAGACAGTTAAGAGATTATTTCAGTGGACCAAGTGAGAGATGATAGTAAACCTGAATAAAGTGGCTGCAAAAAAGTTGGAGGGAAGACAGGGTAAAGATACATTTTGGAGGTAGACATGTCAGGGCTTACTAATAAATTAGATGTGAGGAGTGATAAAAAGTGAACTATCAAAGATAACTCCTGGGCTTCTGGTTTGAGCAACTGTTTCCGTTTACTTTAATGGTGATAATGTGGAGCGAAGTTTAGGGGAAAGTTCAATTTGGAAGTGTTAAGTTTAAAATGTTTGTTTATGAGAATTCTGAGTGGAGAGGAGAAGCGGACAGCTGGATTTGAGAGTATGTAGCCCACATGAGAACGCTGGAGTAGAATATAAATTTAGGAATCATCAGCATATGGATAATATTCAAAGCCACAATAATGGACAAGGTGACCTGCAGAGAGATTATGGATACACAAGAATGTACTACGCTGAGCTTTAAGACCCTCTTTCTCTTAGGCCTGACAGAAGGAAAAGTAAGAAAAAGAGATTGAAAAGGAGTCAGTGAGGTAGGATGTAAAGTGGGAGGAAATACAATAAGAGAAGCCATGTTTGAAGAAAGTTATTGATTGTGTTAAAAGCTGGTATAAGGTTAAGATGAAGACACAGAATAGTCTCTTATGTTTGGTTACATGGATAATAGATTCAGTAAAGTAGTGGAGACTGAAGAGGAACAGGAAAATTGAGTGGTAGCTACAGAGAGATGAGCATTGACTTTCCCTTTTGCATGCTGATCAGAATGATCCAGCATAGAGGGGTTTTTGATGATATATTAGTAAATGAGGAGCTAATTTTAAGAGTGAAATCTTTTATAAAGTGAGAAAGGATGGGATACAGAGCACAAGTGGATGGGTTCACCTTTGGTAAGGGCATGGACATTTCATCTTTTTAACAAGAGGAAGGCTAGAGAAAATAGATGCAGTTGTAGTAAGTTGATACATCTAATCTTAGGAAGATGGTGGAGTTTGCTTCTAATGGTTTCCATTTTCTCAACGAAGTAGGAGATGTTATCATGCAAAAGTGAGGGTAAAGGAAGACATATGGAAGGTTTGAGGGCAGAGGAAATATAATAAAATAGTCATATCTGTAAATGAGAATGCTATCCTTCTAGAAGAAACACTAAAATTTCCAGGCACTATTGAGTGGCAATTTGATTTTTGAGAGCATAAGTTTAAGGTGTAATCACACGGCTTTCTTGCATGGTCTTCACTAGCAATGTTTAGCTAGAGTGGAGTAGGCAAATAGTTGGTTTCAATCAGATTTGGAGTTTGACAAATGAAAACAATGGAAGAAAAGAGGGGCAAGAGAGGGAATATTTGTAAAAAAAAGTTGTAATGAAGGACTATATGATAAGTGTTAAGTCTCTCCCATTTCCTTCTGCTGTTTATTAAAGACAGAAAGGACATTAAAACTGTCATTTGACCAACCCTTTAATTTTTTGACTAAAAAAGAAAATTCAGGCAGGTAAATTGTCGTTCTTAGGATCTAGATCTAGTTAGTAACAGGGCAGGAAATGACACCCAGGTCTTATTTTCTGGTTCTTGCTCCTTCCATTATAGCATGCTCTTATACTTTTTGCTTTCTTTTTGTCTCTCTTCAGTGTCCAGCCCTTAATGTGTAACATGTAAGTACCTGAAGAAAGACTTACCTTCAGTTTAGTAACTTATGTGTCGGGAGCTTAATGATTTTCTCTGTGCTACATCTACATGTTATACAGGACAGAAAAGCGGGGGAGCATATACATTTTTTGAGAAAGAAATACCAAAAAAATTTTTTTAATGGGTTAAAGTGGGAGAAACAAAGAGAGTGATATCACAGAGTCCAAGGAAGGAAAGGAGCCATCAGAATTGTTAGTAAAGAAGGAGCCATGAATACTGGAGTGCTGTGACAAGAATCCTGACAGTACTGAGACAGGGAGGTATAAAGTAAAAACAACAAATGTAGGTTATTATTTCAAGACTTTTGGTGAAGTAAAGGAGAGGGAGAGAGAGCCAAAATAAAGTAGAGGTAGAAGAGAGAGAGAGGATTGAGAGAAGATATTCTTGTTCATTCTTGATTTTGCTTTTTAGTAAAGGAGAAACTTGATCAAGATTCTAGGTGAAGAGTCTAAGTCCAGAGAGAAGTAAATATGAAAGACATGCAAAGGGATGACTGATGGAGCAAGGAGGGTTAGAGGGGATGGGATGGGGAAATATACAAGTGGAGGCATTATCTTTAGACAAGAAAGAACAATCATCTTTTAGAAGAGGAGAAAGGGGTAAAGATGGGTGTGGACAGTGATTATCAAGATCATTACCTCATCTTTTTCCTTCCACTTGAGTTTGGAAACTTAAGCCATCCTTAGATGGCTACGATGAGCCCATGGTAGAGATGTTCACTTTGCTTCCTCAGAGCCTGTCTTCTTGTTCCATCTGCATATGTGGAGCCCAAAATACTTAGAAGAAACCAAAGTGGATTGCTAAGACATGTAGCTGGTTTGCTGTACCACTACTATGTCGTTTGACCAGGAATAGATCCAGCAACATCATGACACACACGATATTATATGTCCTTTAAAAAGATCCGACAGGGTCTTAAGAATCATAGCTTTCCAACCTTTCCTTTTATATCTGCACAATTATACTTTACTCCCTAACTTCCATGGAACCCACCAAGCTTCCAAAAAGAAGAACTAAGAGTACTTAGTTCTTAGCCCTAAAGGCTCTTTTGGTTTTCAGGTGGTTGTAACCAAAGCATTTTTAGCTCCTGCAGTGACCTCCTTTGGGTTTAGAAAGAGCACAATACTTGCCTATGTATACATGTTTTAAACACTCCTACAACCTTCTGCAAGCAGGGATTGGTAGATACAGTTCAAATAAGAAAACCAATTATCTTTAAGTTTGGCTCCCAGGGGAGCTTTGCTTTTTAATTGAGAGATCAATGTTGGATTCTCATGACATCCTGAACTTCCATTCACTGACTGCTGACTAATAGTATGAAATTGGAAATTGGAGTATCTGACATGTCACATGGGTCAGAGCCATGATCCATTTAGGCCAGCCTCCAGAGGCTGCTGAAAGCACCAAGCAATAGCTTGGAGAGGGTACAATGTGAAAAAGTACTGAAACAAGTGACAGAAAATCTAGGCTCTAGACTTGGATCTCCTGCGGCATGTGCAATCTGGTGTGTCATTTATCTTTACTAAATCCCAGGTTTTCCTACTTTGAATGGGAGCGATAATCCCTGCCCTGCTGACCTCACAGAGTTGCTGTGGGACTCAAATGATGTACGGGAAGCCCTTTATCAACTAGAAATCTATATGATCCATAGTAATATCATATTTGAGGAGTGTGTTAATGATGTCGCTGATCACAGAAGTTGAGGATAGTTTTGTCTTTAAGTTCAAAGATATCTGGACCCCTAAAACTGGAAGTAAAACTCTTACTTTTTTTACATCATTAAATATCACCT